GAATATTTACTTTATCATGTCTAACTAATCCCATAAAGGTTAGAATGTAAGGATCGTAATTAAACCAGTAATCAGTATAATTGTTCGTGGAAACACCTAAGGGCTATTTTATCTTTCAATTCAAGTAATTGTTTTTAACTATTTCAAAAACAGCCAAAAGCGCTTTGTATAGTTCATTAGGAGTTTTTAGATTAAAAAGAAAAGAGATTTTAAAACGATTTTCGGACGCGTTATGAGATTTAGAGTCTGGTTCATAAGAACCTCTTTTTGCTAAGAAGCCCAGGTTAAAATACTTTTCAACTTTGTTAAGAAACTATATTTCTTAAAAATAGGTTTACTACTCTAACGCAGTACGCACCTTTTTATCCGTGACAATAGGAGGGGTTGATTAGAGAGTACAACTCGGTTCTGAATACGCGAAAGCGACAGTTCCTGTTAAATTAGTTCTTTTCAAAGGAGAAAACATTGCCCATAAGTAGTTCCATTAACAAGTACTGGATTATCATTGATTACGTGAATTACATTTGAGCCTGTCTTTTATTTATTATTTAAAATTATAATTTTATTTACCATTGCACCCTTACTAAAACCCTTAAAAATAGTTGCCTTAGATAAACACCATAACAACAGGTACGATAGATTGACACTTGGTCTCTGTGGATTCGATAATCTTTTATATTACTTTGACGTGATTCGTACACTTGCGAAAAACACGCATCAGGGAGGCTCTTTGGTATTACTAGCATTGTGTTGAGAAGCAACGACTAGAGAAGACTGTTGGTGATGTGAAGCTTCACCGGGATAAATATCTACAAGAATTAAGGATACCTTTTACCTCTTTTACTGGGGTAAGGGATGCCTTACTTCCCCTTAATCTTCCTGGTTCTCTTCCTAACCAAGTGACCCATCTGGCGAGGATGGTGGTGAGGAAGAACCAGGCTCTGGTTTCTGTATGGGGTAATCTGTCATCTTCTTAATCGCCTCTTTTGATGGCCCAGAAGGATTTAGAGTCTTTGCGCCTTGAAAATGCCTCTCTGGCTTAACAGCTAGTCAACTGTACAAGCGCTACCCTTGAGGTAGTTTCATAGTTGTTTGAGAATGCTTTGTAGCAAGTGGATCATTTCCATCGTCCTTTGGTTGTCTCGAGGGAGCAAATTCAGCCGGATCAAATGCTCAAAGATAGAGATATAGTTTCTCTATGTAGGTACCTCTATCGGGCTTTTTTTATGTACTTCATGTGTAATACCGATGTAATGAAAGAATATATATGCATATGTTGTTACTTTTCGGAATGAAGCACTTTTTTTTACCTATTTAAAGTGTATTTATAGGATTTCAAATGCATAGCTCCAGATCTTTGTGTGAACTGATTTCAAAGTTTTATTGGACGTCACTAGGGTCGTTCCCGGCTAAGTGTCGGTTTCTCTTCCCCTACCAGATGAAAACTCGGTCTGGGGTAGAGATGTGTCTAACCCACTGTGGGCTTTGGAATGGCTAGCTTCTAGAAGGGGGATGTACCAGTTTGAGCCTTTCAAAAATATAACAGTACATAAGTGATGGTGGATCCGAGTCTTCGTCCTGATGGAGAGGGGGGACATGCAAGGTTAGCAATCTAACACTCAAGTCATCATGTGAGGAAGAAAAGTGAATTAAAATTGTGTTTGACGAAGAGAAGAAATTGTTGTTAAAATGACAATGAACATGGTTAATCACAAAAACATACTAATAAATTAGAAACAAAAAAAAAACTTGATAATGTCTAAGATATTAAGCAATTTTATAATGTTCGACACACCAACAATGAGGAAATAATGAGTCCAAGATCTAAAAGTAGTCGTTGTTGAAATTGTTAGATGAGCATCATTATGTTTCTAGGTATCGATTTTATGAGATGAAAAATCAGTTTGAGATATATTTTGGACACATCTTGAATCCATCAAAAGTTTTAACACGTTTGTCGCAGTATTGAAGATTGATTCAATGTAAAGACCAACAAGTACATGTTACCTCTGTTTACACCTGTTGATGTTGGTTTTGCATTTTTGAAATGTGAAAAAGAGGATAATGTTATTTGACCTCTATAAATGTGTCATAATCTGTTGAAAAACTAAAAATATATGTCACATGTGATTGTCATTGATAGGGCTGGCAATGAACCAAACCAACTCGAAGATAGTTCGGAATTCGACTCGACAATTAAATCGTTGAACTAGGTTCATGAACCAAATGAGTTGAGTATGAGCGAAAAATTAAGTTCGTTAACTAAATGAGCTGAACTTGAACTATACATAGTTCGACTCGTTAGGTTCATGAGTCAACTCGATTACATATGAAAAGAATTATACTGTCCTTAAGATTAGGTTTAAATATTTACTTCAAATCTTAGACAAATTTAATCTTCAATTTATTAGTTTTTGAATTAGACTCTCAAATGTATCTCTTGAAAGTTGTGTAGGTTTTGAATTAGTAGATTTCGAAGATAAAGTTAAATTTCAATATGATAACTTTTATTTTATTTTAATATTTTATTTAAAAATATATATATATATATATTTATTTAAAATTTCAAATATACTAAAAAATATATATATTTAAAAAAATAGTTTTTAAGTTCGTGAACCATGTGAGCTGAACCTAATGAGATGAACCTAACGAGTCGAACCGAACTGTTCGTGAACTTATAACGAGTCGAGTTTGAGCTTAAAAAAAAGTTCGTGTCGAACTCGAACTCGAACTCGAATTCGAACAATTCTTAACGAGTCGAGCCGAGCTGAGGTGAGTTCGACTCGACTCGACTCATTTCCAGCCCTAGTCATTGATTACAATACTTCACTAATGAGTTTTGTAGAAAAAAATATTTCCTAAATCATATTAAGGGTGAGCAAGGGACGGGTCGGGATGGGTTATGACTAGCCTTAATCATGTCCTAAACTTTGATCGGGCTATTTTAATGATCTTAACCCGTACCTAGACCCGATAATATAGAAGTTAGTTTAGACCGGGTTAATGTAAGACGATATCGGGCTGACCCGAAATATATGGAGAGAAAAAATTTAGTGACTTAAGAAATTTATTATAGTATTTTAAAAAATTCATTTAAATAAGAAATATAAATAAAATCATTAGTATGAATAAAAAACAATGAAGACATCTAAAGACAATTTTTTAAAATAAAAAACATGATGTAATTCTATATATGTCATCACCTTTTTATTTTTACTAAAACATAGTAAGAAGATGTAAAATAAAAAACATGATGTAAAAGAATTAGAAAAGTGTGAAATTTGGGAAGTGGAAAGATGTGTACTTAGTACTTACTTAGTGCATATATTAAATTATAAGGTGACAAGTGGAAAAGTCTATTAAAAATTTGGAATAATCTAAATATACTAATAAATTAAATAAATAAATAGTACCACATGTGGATTCATAATATAGGATGGATTAGGTAACCCAATGGTCAACCCGAATCCGACCCACCTAATATCAGGTTCATTTTTTAACAGTACTTTTTTTTATATCTTTTTACATAAAACAAGTTGGGATGAGGTTTCGAGTTGAGTTGGGTTCTACACACTCGTACCTCATATGTCTTATTGTGTAAATATTATATAACAAAAAATGTAAGATCTAAACTAAGAGAATTTTAAGAAACAAATAAATCAATGTGAAGACAGGAAATTATCAATTCTACATAAGTATTGCAACCCATGATGGATTTGTGAAATGTTATAATCAATTTTTCTACTTAAGTGTCATGCGTTGATTCTATCATGCTGTTCATAAGTGTGTGCGTAAAATAATCAGATTTTTTTAAAATATATTGAAACTATAAAATTAGACAAGGTGAAAAGAAAATAATTTGTGAATGAATTAATTAGGCTAAACACTTTGGCAATACCATAACAAACGGGGTTTAAGGCATGTGTGTTTTAATTTTTTTTTTAATAAGTTTTAATGTTACGTATTTGTTTTTAAAAAAATTTAATTCTTTTTTCACAAAAATTTCAAATGAAAATTTAATTTGAATAATTATTTTTAAAATATTATTTTATGCAACTTTTTTTAATATTAAAATTTTAAAAAATCACTTAACTTTAAAACTATTTCAAATAGTTTTTTAAAAAAAATCATTTTTAAGTAATATTTTTTTAAAAATTACAATTTTAACAATTTTTTTATCTTTAATAACATATATTTATGTTACCATGATGTCAAAATTAAACTTTCAATTTCAAATTTTGTAACATTTTATAAAAAAATATTTATAAAATCATTTTTAAAAATTAAAAAAAAAATCTATTTTTTAAACCTAACAAACCGCCCATAATATATAGATTGAAAGACAGTAAGAATGTTTTTTTTAAGGATTAATAATTTCAAAGCTGTTTGTTTGTATCAGAACAGAATTCAATAGAGGTATGCCTTAAAAGGATAACCATTTTCTAGTACCTTTGTAATCACAGGGATTGGTTCAACGTTGATTGCAATGGTTTTAAATAGCCTCTTGTGAATATTTTCAAGCATCCAAAATCAGTGAAAGTTACCATACACTGTTTCAGGAAAATTTCCTTCTAATTGAGTGACTATTTTTCTACTTAATATAGAAGAGATAAGCAATGTTGATATTATAGAGAAGGAAAACCAATTAGGTCCAAAAGAAGTCATGTGTTATTATATACACGCACAACCCAATAATTTTCACATAAATGAGTCCACAAATATCTTGATAACTTGGGATCACTAATTTAAGATTGAATATCAGTAAACTCTACGGCACACAGGTCGAATAATCACCATAAGTGGCCTCAGAGAATCACCTAATGAAGAGAAGGTAGAAATTATAACATCACAAATTGTTCTTAAACAGATCTTATACATATCTAAAACTAAAGGATAAAAGATTTGAGAACAGTTTAGTAGTTTAAGGGATGCTATCATTATATCATAAACAAACACTTTAGATTTACCTTAAACCTTTGACATTAGATGACCACTCTTTAGTCACTATCTTCCTGACCTGCCACCCACCGTGCTTCATGTAAATCAAATTATCTCTATAATAACATGCAGATAATTGCGTTTAGCTATAGTAATTATTAGTTGAAGAACAAGTAGACTTAGCAACAGATTGAATGTCCGTTACCATGAGCAATTAGTTAAAAACTGAATCAAGGTAAAAGTTCCTATACATGTCTGGTTTCTTGAGCCGGGTTCTGAGGCGGGCATGAGCGATCTAGACCCCATGGAGCCCGCCCCAATCAAACGATCCACCCAGAAGAGCGTGACCGGGCTAAAATAGTTAATGGGCTAGATTGGCTACCGTATCTGATTGAGATATAATTGGGGGCGCATTTACGGCTGATGAGAGGATATATGATTGAGATATGATTGGGGGCACATTTATGTATCAAAATTTTTTATGGTGTCATGCTTCATAATCAGCTCAATAAACTCAAGCAACATCTTTGGTTTACATGAAATTTTACAAAACAAAAAGCAAACCAACAAATATAGTAGCATGTGCAGAGATGTTGATAAATGAAACAGCATAAGAAAAGTGAATGAAATTTATTAAAAATATGATGAGGATGTTGAAAGTATACCATACCTTTAAGGGTAGTAGTAAAACCACACGTAGTTAAATGGTTTGCAAGTGTTTCTCCTAATTGCTTTTGCCAATTTGGTGGAATTTTATCTTCATCAGATAATATAGGTGAAACTAGTGCTGTCTCTGATGCTAAATTCACAGTCGCAGATAACACTTGTGCCTGTCCATTATTAAAAAAATCATACATATTTCTATTTCTGGTACGTTTCTTAATTCGAATTCGCAGTCGAAAAAATTAAACAGAAAAATGAAATAAACATACTTGAGTTTCTAGAATTTTCTTGACGCTAGATGCACATCCCTCACACATCATTCCCTGCATAACAAATTGGAATTCAATTCACTTTGCTTCGTTACGTTCATGTCGAAATCAAAATATGATATAATAAAGAGAAAATGAGAACACGCACCCGAACATGGAGAACAATAGCATCATCATGGAGGCGGTCCCCTCCACTAGAAGGAGTTGAGCACCGTAACCGCAATGGCTTAACAGAGCTGTGGCAGCGACCGCGGTGATTCAACTGCCGTTGGATGCCTCTGCCGTTTTGAAAATTCAGATTGAGAGGTTTGAAAAGCGCCATCTGCTTCATGGCAGAAACCGTTGTTGCTGTTGGAATTTGGATTACAAGAATCGATGAAGAATAAGATGACATGGTTGAAATTAACTGAACATACCAATTCCAATTAATTAGGTTATATATAGGCTTTCTTTTCTCGAAAAAAAAAATATTTTTGCCATTTCTTTATTTCTCAAATAGTCCAGGGACAGTATTTTATTTATTTATTTTTTATTTTTATTATTTTACAAATCAAGTGACGTCTATCATGGGTGGATCATTTAAATTAAACCATCAGATTATATCAATAGACAAAATTTAATAAGTTTAAAAATGAGAACATGTACATTTCATCATACATTATCATAAAAAATATGAGAAAATGATATTATTGACTATGCAAATGTTTATGCTTTGGACTATGTCAAGACATGTCTTTCTGCCGAGCAGACCTAATCCAAGATTACGATAATGTGGTCCAACAAGGCCTAATTTCCTACGTCGGGGAAGAGCCTCAACAAGACTCATTCTCCAGGCAGAAGACCTTCAAACGGGGAGGTCCACACACTTTTCCCACATTCTCCACGTGCTCCCCCACGCAAGGACACGTCATCAAGCAACTACCCACGTTCGAAAGAGATGGTTAGCCCACCTTCCGAAGATCACGGGGTAGTTGATCAAAGGCGAAGACGACGTGCTGGTCTTCACTACGCCACGTAAGCCTTGACAGTTACTTATGTTGGGCTTGGCAATCCAGTCCAATGCAATGTAAATGTTGCCCTTGTGCTGGGAGCACATTATAAATACCCTAATTCACTAGAGGGTCAGGTATTCTATTCTCCACACATTTTCTCTGTACTTGCTCTCTCTAATTTCGGTACTTACTTAGGCATCAAAGCATTTTGCAGGTACACCCCATTTCTCCTCCATCACTCCGGTAAGGGCATCAGATCACGACGCGTGACAGGTCACTGACTCCTTTCTGATCAGGTGAGATCAGTGGCGCCATCTGTGGGAAAGTCGTTTCCCCGTTCTTTCTCCTGTCCGAGCACAACAACTCTAGAACCAAAGCGAAACTAACAACAACTTCCATTCTAATCATGACAAGCCCGCGCCACAACAATGCCCCAAGATCTGCCTTTATCCTTTCTTCAACGGGGACAGCCATGATCCCAACACGTCTGTCCGTAACGAAGAGGATGACCATAGGGACGGGCGCACCGCCTCTTCCTCATCCAAAGACGCGGCTTACAATGCCGTCCAACGCTTAGACAGCTCGGCTGTCTACCAGCCCATTTCGACCTCAGCTGGTGCCGATCCTATCGTGGTAGCTCTGTTCACGGCCATCAACCAAACTAACTTAATAATCTTTGGGCAGAACAAACAAATAGGGATGCTCGAAATGAAACAACCTTCACGCTCTCCCCCACAGAGACACCCTCGTCCTATTTCCCTTAGTTTGTCCCCTAGACTGCGGAGACGCCAGCGCCCGGTTTCCATCAACATGTCTCCTCCCCCGTGGAGGACGCGGTTCGTCGAAGAACCACAGAGCCCCTCTCCCCTACCGACGGGGTGCCGACCTCGTTTGGAGCAACCTCAACAGTCAACTGCCCATAAACGGGACAGGTCGCCTCCCCGAAAAGAGCGACGCTCCCCGACCCAAAAGAAGAAGGTCGTAGAGGGCCCCTCCAAACTGAGAGCCCGACCAAGGAGTCCCTTACACCGAAACCACTAGGACTCAGCTTCCCCCTCATTGTCTCCTAACATGAGCAATGAGGACCTCTAGTGCTCCCCGTTATACAGAGCCATCAGGGAGGCCCCATTGCCCGCTAGAATGGAGAAACCCTCAATCCTGGCTACGTACGATGGCACGACCGATCCAGACGACCATATCGAAAGCATAGACGCTATGCTAAATTACCGAAACGTCCGGGGAGCCATCAAGTACAGGTTGTTCCCCACCACCCTGAGGAAGGGAGCCATGGCATGGTACAAACGCCCCATACCCGACTCCATTACATCCTGGGGCGAACTGAAGCAGCAGTTCTCCGGACACTTCACGGCTTCCTGGCGCCATCCGAAGACAGAAGCGGCCCTGAAAGCCGTCATCCAGGGGAGGAACGAGCCTCTTCGTAATTATATAAAGAGGTTCAATCGTGAAGCCGTCCAGGTATCCACCATGGACGATATGAAGATATTCTTAATATAGAGGGGCATACGATCACACTGTGACTTCGCCGAAGCCGTGGGAACCACACGTTCCCGCACCTTGAATGCCCTCCTCCACAAGGCTCAATCATACATCGAGTATGAGGAGATAGAGGCCGCCAACACCGCCCGGGACAAAAGGAATCAGAAGGGTGTTAGAGGCGTCAGGCACGAGGAAGCCCCTCAGCCTCGACGCAACGAACAAAGAAGGCGCGAGGACTGATCCCGCAAGCAGAAAGGATCGACGAGCTGATTCACCGAGTACACGCTATTCACAGCTCACTGCGAGCGCATTCTGGCCGAATACATTAATTCAAAATTTCAGAGGGGCGGAGTTCGGTTCCCGAAACCGACACCCCCGAAGCCCAACATGGACAGATCCAAGTATTGTCGATTCCACCAGAGCCATGGGCACGTCACGGAAGACTGCATCCACCTCAAAGATGCAATCAAGATTTTAATTAAAGAAGGGCATCTGAGATGCATTAGTAGAACCAAAAATTATGTCATCAACATAGACTTGGACAATTAAGATTTCCTTATCCAGAGTCTTTCTGAATAGTGTAGTGTTAACTTAACCCTTTTAAAAATCATTTTCTAACAAGAAATTTCTCAGTCTCTCATACCAAGCTCTTGGAGCTTGTTTGAGTCCATAAAGTGATTTCTTAAGTTTAAAATGAAAATCTGGGTGGATTGAGTCCTCAAACCCAACGGGTTGTTTGACATACACTTCTTCAAAAATGACTCCATTTAAGAAAGAATTCTTGACATCCATTTGATATAAAATAATATCATGATTAATAGCATAAGAGAGAAGAAGTTTGATTGCCTCTAACCTTGAAACTAGTGAAAAAGTTTCCGAGAAATCTATAACTTCTTGTTGACTTTAGCCTTGAGCTATCAGTCTAGCTTTGTTTCTTACCACCTTTCCTTGCTCATTCAGCTTATTTTTGAACACCCATTTTGTTCCATTAATGTTTTTCTGATGAGGTATGGGAACCAGATCCCACACATCATTCCTTTGAAATTGGTCCAATTCTTCTTGCATTTCTACAATCCATCCATCATCTGATAAGGCTTCATCAACAAAAGTTAGTTCAATCATGGAGATAACTCCCAACATTGATGCTTCTCTTTAAAGGTCTTTTTGGATTGTACAGCTTCTTGAGAGTCACGGGGAGCTTCTTCAGAACTTGCTTCCTCTAGTTGTGTTTCAGAAGTTGGACTTGGTTTTTCACTACTAGCACCTAAACGTCTAGCTTCTGATCCTCTAGCTTATGAATATTCTGCTTCTTAAAGAATAGTGAATTTTGATCCACACGCTTTTGGAGATACTTTTGATAAATGAAATTATGCAAAGTTCTCAACCAGCCCTGACATTTTATTTTCAGGCTCTTTGTCATCAAATTTTTTATGTATGGACTCTTCAACCATTCTGGTTTCAGAGTTATACATTATGTATGCCTTGGAGCGTTTAGAATATCCTAAAAAGGTACCTTTTTGAGCTTTAGCATCAAATTTTTTCAGGTAAACTTTATTGTTTAAGATGTAGAACGTACATCCAAATTGATGAAAATAAGAAATGTTAGGTTTTTTTTCCTTTGAACAACTCATGTGCAGTTTTGTCTATAATGGATTTGATGTAGATCATGTTCTGAGCATAATATGTTGTGTTTACAACTTATGCCCACAAGTACTTCGGCAAATTATTTTCATGAATCATGGTTTTGGAAATTTCTTGTAATAATTTGTTCTTCATCTCTACAACTCCATTTTGCTTTGGAATTCTAGGAGAAGGGAACTCACAAAGGATTCCATATTTTTCACAAAAGTTTTCAAAAGGCTCGTTTTCAAATTCTCCTCCATGATCACTCCTTACTTTTAAATTTTTTGACCCTCTTTCATTTTGTACTAATATGCAGAAGATACTAAACACATCATATGTTTCATCCTTGGTTCTAAGGAAGTTAACCCAAGTCCATCAACTAAAGTCATCAATTGTGACAAGTCCATATTTCTTCTCATTGATTGATGCAGTACTGACGGACCAGACAAATCAATATGAAGCAGTTCTAAGGGTCTAGAGGTAGAGAAAGTGTTCTTTATTTTAAAAGAGGTTTTATTAATCTTCCATACTTGGCATGCTTCACAGAGAGCATCTGAATGATAGTTAAGATTTGGCAGCCCATTAACAAGTTTTATCTTGCTAAGCTTGGAGATTAATCTTCAGTTAGTAAGACCTAACCTTCTGTGACATACCCATTTTTCATTACTCACTAACAGAAGACACATTACCTTCTGATCAACAAATTCAGAAATTTTAATTTTATAAACACTAGCACTCAGACGGGTACTCCCGTGCCCGTCTGTCCGCATTTATTAATGCAATATGGGTCAAAATATAAATGGTATTTTTTGTGTTCATTTTATATTTTAATTTAAATTACTTATAAAATATTAGAATGATAAATATATACAAACTACCATATAGCAGTTAATAAAAGAGAAGTTGAGATTTAAAACAAAAGTGAAAAGGATATAATTGAAACAAAAATAGGCTACACCAAAACCAAGTTTTGCCTTTATATATAGTTATAGATTTCCTTTCCTCATGCCCTTGAACTTTACAAATTTATCAAACTCATTCACGATTGTACAAATGATCTTATTAAATACTACTTCATAACTACCCTCACAAAATTGGCTTATGCTAAGTAGATTATGTTTTAGTCCATCTACCAACCAGACATTATTAATAGAAATAGATGAGTTACCAATAGTTCCTCTACTTGGTCTTCCCATTTTGGTTTCCTTGAAATCCTAAAGTTCCTCCCTCTTTTAGAGTGAGGGTTTAGAACATAAGCCTTTTCTCCTATCATATGTCGTGA